GCACCTTCCCAAAAAGAGGTTGTTCTCTTTTTTTTTTGTTTGTTTGTTTTTTTTTGTTTTTTTCTTTTTTACACAGATTATCCCACATTTCTTATGGCTGGTAAAACACAGACAGGTCAGCGTAGCAGTTAATGGATGATGCCACTTCCACTTGAAATACACAGAAATGGTGGTTTGGCTTTCCTTCCAAACCGAAACAGACTTGTTTTGATTTGTCCCCCTGAGTTGCCTAGAGGCGAGAAGATGCATATAGGTGGGGTAAGCAAGCTCGTGTCACCGTGAGCAGGAATCTCTCCTGTTAAGACTAAATGAACAGCTCCTCCGTTGTCTTTTGTCGTTCCCTTCGTGCCATCGAGGTGCACAGGCTCCACTTCGCTTCTCACTGATGTCAGCAGCAAAAAAAAAAAACAATAAACAAAGCCTCTTGCTGCCTTTGGGGGAGCAGGGAGAGCTGGGGAAGGGGGTGCAGCTCGGCCCGGCCACCCCGTGACCCCACAGATGTGGGGAGTGAGGGGCTGGGTGACGTGGGGGTCCCACATTCCATCGGGGATGAGGCAGAGGTTTCCTGGTGCACCTGTGAGCGAGGGTTTTGGGTACATTAAGACACACTGGCCCAAATCCTCCCTGCGGGGTGGGCTGGTTCTGCAGTGGTGCCACGTCCACTGGCACCTGCTGAGCCTTTTTCCGTGGAAAGAGATGCTGGATCTGTAGTTTATTATGTTTTTTTTCCTTTTTAAATAACTGGGTTACTTAAGACTTACCTATTGAAAACAGCTACACTTTATGCTGTAAAAGTAATTTCCCCAACAATTTCACAAGCAATACAAGATAGGCATTGAAGAGAATGATGTAAAGACAGCTTTCCGTTATGCAGAAGATCATTTTTCCTCTCCAGTTATTTAAGCTAACCTCCTTTAACAATCTCAGAATAAATTAATAAATACTAGTTAAATTAGAAACAGTACATCAGATCTGACTATCAATAGAAAACAGTTCTAGGGATCCCAATCAGGAGAAGAAAAATGATCTCAGGAAAATACGTGCAGTAAAAACTGGCCATAAAGAGACACGGAGCCTTTGATTTCCCAGCATTTGTGACATTCAAGTTAAGATCATTAGCAATGGTTTCTAAGTGTCAGCTATCTAGCCTAGCCTCCTCCTCAAAGCTAAAACATGAGTCTGTATCCCTCCAGAAGATTCAGTTGGCTACTGGTGGTGTATGAAATGCTTGTCTCCAGTTCGTATCATCGGTTTCTGGTCTGTGTGGAATTTGTGGTAGGGGATGGGTGACAGTCAGAGGCTGAGCTGCTTCTGCTGTTGCTGTTGTCAGTATTTATGGGATCAGTTGAACCTTTACCTATGCTTGTTATCAGGAAAGCAAGAGTGTGCATCACATCTTCATGCTAGACAGGAGTTATTTTTACGTGGCTATCCGTATTTTCTATGGAGCTTTCCATTGTTGGTTAAAAAAGTTCTGTCTAATATTTAACAAAAAAAAAAAAAAGTTGTTGGTAGCAACTGTTCACATTTAAAATTTCACATTCCCTTTAGAATGTAGTTTTAAAACGTGGAGCAGAGCTGACATTTTCCCCAGCCTTACGCCGAGTACATTAGATGGAGAAAGGAACAGAGTTTTTGGTTTTTTTTATACCACGCTGTCAGAGCCTTTTCCTGAATTTTCTGCTTTTCCAATATCCATGTCTATAAAGTCATCTGGTAATTCTGGTGGGGGCCCTGGTGGGCTCTCCTCCACCTGCTGCTGCTGCTGCTGGTGGTGGCGGTGGCGGCGGCACAGCCCAGTCTTGCACGGCCTCACCAGGGCCAGAAACACGGCCCCCAGGACCATGCCAGCAGCACAGGAGTAGAAGGCTGAGCTGTAGTTCTTTGTCGTATCCACTAAGACACCTACAAAAAACAATCACAGCAGTTAGACCCAGCCAGCTCCCCCTCTCCCCTGCCCAGCCGTCCTTCCTGCAGATTTTTAATCCTGGTGCCTCTGCATCACTTCATCTGCAGGCAGAACTCAGTGATAAACAGATGCCACTTTAAAAAAGTGAACCCACTGTGTTCAGGGGTACGTGGTGTCATCTTCAGGCAAGTCAGAAGCCTCTGGGCACCGCAGGGACTCTAAGCCCGAGATGCATCAAGCATCTGTTTGTTCTGATAGAGACTTCCCCTCTCTGCAGTGTGTGGCACAGACACAGGCACAGCAAGAGGGATTCGCCTCTGCTGGTCGCTAGAGCCTGAAGTGATGCCAGGTTTGGGTTTCTAACAGGATCAGGGTAGCACTGCAGTATTTCCCTTCCCTCTGAGGTTCCTCAGTGGAGACTGCCTCATCCGTGGGACTCTGCAGAGCTGCATTGCAGCAGTCTTCTGGCTCCCAGAGTCTCTAATAGTAGTTGCAGGGCTCTTAGGATAGTGCTGTGATTAGCGCTGCCAGAACCCTTTCTAGGCAGAGATCAGCACCAACAGCTGTCAAACATTTCAAAAAACAAATTAAGATCAAAGTTTGAGAGTTACCTGCAATGGGTGGTCCAGCCAACCCAGCTAAGCTTTGAATGAAGACGTAGACTCCAGCTGCAGAAGACATCTTTTCGATGCCAACCACATCGTCTTCTGCCAGGAGGGGAATATGTGTGCCCGCCACCGTGCCGAGCATGAACCCAAAATAAATGCTACATGTCATCAAGCCCCAGAACTCGGAGGCAAAAGGGAAGGCAAACAATGCTACAGACAGCAGGATGACACAGATGAGTTCGATGTAGATCTTGCGGATGGGCTTCTTGTTGAGAACCCAGCCAGCAAAAATCCTCCCGAAGACCTCGGCGATGGCCATGGCCGACAGGATGTACGCCGAGTGGTCCTTGCCGATGCCCAGGCTGAGACTCAGGGGGATGATGTAGAGGGAGGGAGCGAAGAAGCCCAGGGTTGCAAACAGGCCAAAGAATGCATAACAGATAAAGCTATAGTCTCTCATCACAGAGAAGTCCAGTAGTTTGGTTTTTGGTTCTGGAGGGGTGCTGTTATTTTCAACGGGAATCTGTCCGTGTTGCTTTGGTTCTTCACTTTTCGGCTCTGCTTTGGTTTTTCCAGGCACATTGCTGGGTGAGGTAGTTATATCAACTCCTGAGTCTATGGACTCTATTGAGGTGCATGTTTGCTCATTTTCAAGCATGTACTTTGTCTCGGTGGACTCTTCTGGAGGCTGTGCTTTCACTTCTTCTTGCTCTTTGATGATGATGGGCCGCAGCAGCGACCCGCAGACGGTGATGCCAAGCTGCAGCACCCCGACAGAAAGCAGGCTGTATCTCCAGCCAATCTGCTCCTTCAGAGCTGTGATTGCTGAGGGAAGAGGGCAAGAGGAAGAAGAAAGTGTAACTAGGAAAGCCTGCAGTTACATCAAGGAGTTGAATTTACAGCCAGGGAAGTCACTTGAGTTTTACCACTGGAGGGTTCCAGGCACCTTGGCTCTGCAAAGGCTGAGCAGGGGGTCCCTCCTGCTCAGGGGTCTGGCACCCACCTTCCTCCCCTCAGCTGCGGCAGACAAAAGCTAGAAGCTGTGTTTACCACCTGGCTAGCAGAAGCCACCCTCTAGGCAGCCCCTTCTGAATTTGGGGATGAAGGGGGTGTTATTTTTAGTGAAGGAGCGCAAACTCGAGTTTCCTCTCTCAGCTGACCCCACCCTGAAACCAGCCACCAGAGGAAGTCCCTGAGCCCTACTCAGAGGTGCATGTCACTGCTGAATTACCAGCCTTCACGTGCAACCAAAGCAGCTTTGCACTGGGGATTAGCTGAAAGCACACATGCACAGCAGGACCACCTGAGCAGCCAAGGACAGGCGGGGACAGGGACGTGCTGCCTGGGGACAGGTCCCCAAAAGGCTGGAGCAGCTCGGCAGCCCGTGCTAAGCACAAGCCCACTAACCTTTAGGGGCAGTTATGTGTGCACTGTGTGTGTTTTAAATAGCTGAAGTTTCTCTGTCTTATTTTTAGCCTGCCAGATCTATATAGGGAGCCCATCGGGCTGTGTATCAGCCAGGCATGTCCTGTGCTGGCAGATCCCGCTGGGGACGGCTCGGGCAGCGTTAGAGGCAGTGTTAGACCCGGCTCTAGGATTATTTGTCACCCTGCCTGCAGGGCACGAGTGCCATGGGCACGTGAGCAACAACCTGTGGGCTTTAGCAGGTCCCCGGGCACCAACTCCCTCGGTCCCCTCTGGCTCCCATTTGCTTGGGGAAAGGAGAGGGGAGCAGTGCTGAGCTTTAGGCGTGCACATGTGAACTCCCAGCACGTGGGCAACTGTACCTGGTGCGAAGGAGAAGACGGCGAAACATTCCCCTGTAGATGCCACTGCTGTGACCAGCGAGCGCCTTTTGTCAAAATACTGTGATAAAATGGTGACAGTCGGGAGGAAGGAGAGGCAGTATCCAAGGCCTGTGAATAAATGCCAAAAATTGCCATAACAACAAGTAAAGGAGGGGGAAACACCGATGCAAGAACACCTTAAGTCGGCTTTCCCGGTGGTGATTACACAGTATCATTTCGGCCAACTCAGCAAGTCACCCTGGAAGAAAATCATTGGGGAAACCAGAATGTTATTTTTTTTTGTAAATTGGAGGGGGGAGGAAAGAAAAAGAAAAGAGGAAAGTAAAAACCCAAGAGACCCAGCCTCCCAAACCTGCCAGATAATGCCTTCTGCTACAAAGCAGCCAGGGGGGTCCACTTTCAGGACCTCATCTGCCTAAAGAGTTTGAGGCTGTAGCAACTGTTCCCCTAAGCAAGGCAAGCTCCTGGACATAGATGGGAGCAGGACACCCGGACCAGGCTGGAGAGGGGGAAAAGTATCAGGAAAAGAAAAAAAAGAGACAGAGGCAGAGGTTAAGAGGATCTGACCCCACAAGCAGTTTGGTCTCCCCAGCGATCCCAGTCCATGAGAAGCGTCCACTACGACTGCACGAGCACAGGACCACGTCCCAGGGTGGTCCCCAGGGTGAGAGGGTAGAAAGCCAAGCCCAGAGCCCAGCTTAACCCCCCTCCCAGGAGGGCGAGGTCAGCTCCGGAGGGGCAGCAGCGTTAAGCACTCCCCCTGTCCCGGGGGGTAAAACCCCTGTGGTTTGCGGGAAGCTGCGGGAGAGCACGGGGAGCGTTGGGCAGGTAGAGCAGAGGATGACTCACCGGAGATGATGCCGATGGTGACATACATGTCCACGACAGAGCGGGCGAAGGCGGCGATGACCATCCCGGTGCTGATGAGCAGCCCCCCGGCCATCACCACCAAGCGGTGACCGAAGCGGTTGCTGAGCACCGTCGACAGAGGAGCTGGGGAGGGAGAGAGCCCTGGTCAACACCCAACGCAGCAGCTTCACCAGCCACGTCTCCTCCAGAGGCTCTTCTCACACTCCTGCCCAGGTCCCCCTGTTGTGCCACCTCCCCGCACAGCACCGTGTCACCCCGGGGCCATCCTTGGGGCGCTGCACAGCTCTCGTGGCACTTAGGACGTGCTAAAAAAATCATCACAAGAGACTTAAAGACGAGTGCGTGGGAGCCTGGGACAAACCTGCAGCCACATCCCCAGACACCAGCGGATTTCAGCAAGGCTCCAGCTGCTTCTAATCCTTTTCACTGCAGAGTTTGGTTTCAAAACTCCGGTTTTTGCCCCTTGCTGGCGAGACCTGAACAGCCGGGCCAAGGCCAGTGACATGGACCATGTCCCTGCACCATGCAAGGACATGAGTCAGGGCTCAAAGGGTGAGACAGACATTTCTTAGCATTTCATGCAGCCTCTGAGCTTTATGGCTGTTATTTAATTTATAGTGGAGCCATTAGAGGCACGAAAGTCACAGGTGCCGGGTCCTTGTTTGCTGAGTCAGCAGTACGGCTGCCCCTTGCACCTGCTCCTCTTACCTGTGAAGGTCTGCACAAACACACATATGGATATTATCCATGATATCCTGCTGTTGGTTTCGTCAAAGCTTTCCATCAGATCATTGAAGAAGACTCCAAATGATTTTATGATGCCGTATGTCAGGGCTTCCACAACAAAGAATGCAAAAGCAACTGTCCAGCCCCATCCTCCGTCAGGCACTTTAGTATAAACGTTTGCAGAGGTGCACGGCATTTTTACAGCTTTGACCGTCATTTTGGACCTGGAAAAGAGGGGACAGGGAGCCAGGCATGAGTTTAAGCTGAATTTTGCTGAAAGAGGCACAGTCTAGGAGCTGCAGCATTCCCGAAGGCACCATGAGCCAGTCCCTGTGCTGCTGAGGGATTAAACAGAGGAGCTGGGCTGATATTTCTTCCTCTGCCACCCCACAGGCTCCTCCCTGATGGTGCCCTGCGAGCCCAGGACCAGAAAGTCTCAGCTCAGCACCCGGGCAGGCTGTTCCCAGCAGCCAAGCCCAGGAGCTGTCATCTGTCTGTCGGTGTGAGGGGGTGGGTGGGTGCAGTTCGTGAAAGATCCACCGCAGAACCCAGTGTGGGCTGGTGGAGCTGCAGGAACTCCCCGAGGCACCCGTCCTCCCCCCTGCACCCCCTGCCTGCCCGGTGACACCTCGGTGACACCCATTTGCCGCAGGATCAGTCAGTGACAGAACCCACTGTCACATGTTGTGGTGTCCAGAATCCCGCAGCTGCTGGCTCTGGGATGACAGGAACTCCTGGGGAGCTTGTCTGCCCCCAAAGAGGCAGCTCAGAGCTGCCCACACCTCAAAACAGGGGGTGGGGGCAACCCCCTGCTGCCACCAGCTCTCCTGCAGCCCTTGGGGCCACTTACACCCCCCAGGGCACTGGGGGCTGGAGGGGATCGCCCCATATGCCAGGGGGGTCTCTTCAGCCCTTCTCCGTGTCACCAGGGGCTGTGGGTGTGCAGGGGCAGCTTTTGTCCCACACGGAGCTCCTTGTGGAACTCCAGCGCTGCCACAAGTCTGCAGGGGGACAGTGCCAGGGTCAGTGCCATGCCTGCATGGGGGGGAGGACGGCGCCAGGGTCACAGTCCTGGGGTCACTGCTACACCTGCCCGGGGAGGGGGACAGTGCCACGGTCACCGTGCCGGGGTCACCGTGCCGGGGTCACTGCCACACCCGTGCGGGGAGTGCCAGTGTCACCGTGTCACCTGCGTGGGGGGGACACGGCAGTGCCGGGGTCACGCCCCAGCGCTGGCTCCCAGCAGCCACCCCAGGGCAGGGACCGAGGGGCGGCCGCGGGGGTCCCTCCCGGGGGCTGCCCCGGGCACCGCGCGGACCCGGCGGCTCTTTGCGCGTTCTCCCCCTGCGCCGCCGGCCCCGGCAGCCACCAGGCATTTCCCTCCTCCATTTTCTGCTCAGATCTCCTCGGCACCGCGTTCTCGGCGCACGGAGCCCGAGCGGCTCCGGCCACGCCGCCCCAGCCCCCGCCCCGGGCAACTTCTCTCGGCGGACCAGGCGAGTGCGAGACACCGGCGCCCACCGGGAGCTCGGCGGGGGTGGGAGCCCACGCGAGGGGTCCCTGAGCGGGGCAGGGGGGTCCCCGCAGCCCGCAGACCCCCCGTGCGGTGCTGCATGGCGGGTGCGCGGCTCCCTTGGGATCCTTTCTCCCAGGGATGCAGCGAGGCGTGGGCTCCTGCATCCCTGCGGTGCTGCTCTGCTGCAGCCCCGCGCCGGGGCGAGGGGCACGGGCGGGACCCCCGGCGGCGGCCCGAAGTTTTGTGGGAAGTGCCTGGAGACCCCCGAGAAGGGGGACGGGGCTGCCGTGAATTTCTGTGTCACCGCACGAGGAACTGGGGGGAGAGTAGGTTTAGGAGGAAGCACGCTTAGGAACAGAAAGGAGGGGGGAAAAAAAAAAAAAAAAAGGAAAGGAAAGGAAAGAAAAAACAACCCCGAAACCGCAAACCTGGGGCGTGTGTTTTGTACGTTTAAAGATTAAAAGAAATGGCGATGGAGGGGGAAAAATAGCTGAAAATTAAGAAGCCGGAGCGCGCAGGGGCCCGGCGTGGCCCCCCCTTCCCTGCATCACTTTCCCAACATTTCAGCCCTGATTCCTGCATCGCCGGGGCCGCGGGCTAAAAATACAGGGATGCGGACGAGGGGAGAGGGGAATAATGTTTAAAAGAGGTCAAAAATGAGAAAGGGGGTGGGGGGAAAAAAAAAAAGAGAGAGAGATAGAAACAAAGAGAACCCCGATAAACAAAGCCCCCCCACCCCGATCCCCCGGGAGGGAGGGAGCCCCACTCACCCGGCGCTGCGGCGGGGTCAGGGGCTGCCCATGGCCCGGGGAGGGCGAGCGGGCGGGCGACCCTCGGCGAGGAGGCGGCCCCCGCTGCCCCGCCGGCCGCTGCTGCTCCCGCTGCCCGCGGCGGCGGCTGCTGCTGCTGCTCGGTGCTCGCTCCCAGCCCTTATATACCGGCTGGAGCCGGTCTCCGCCGGCGGCTCCGCAGCGCCCATGTGCGCGGCGCCGGGCCCGGCTCGCCCCAGCGGCGGCACCGCGTGTGCGGGGAGGGGCGGTGCAGGCGGCGGGAGCGGCTCCCCCCGCTCCTCCGGGGACACAGAGAGAGAGACAGAGAGAGAGAGAGAGACAGAGAGAGGTCCCCCAGCCAGCCCCGCACCTGCCGCAGGGACCCGCGCCCCGCGGGGAGCAGGTGCCCGAGCGGGTCCCCGGGATGCGCCGCTGGAGCATCCCCGCGGATGGGGATGCGGGTGGGGGTGAGCGCATATGGAAGTACCCCCGCCCTGAGGGTTCCAGAGTGTCCTTGTCCCCTTTGGGTGCAGGGCATGATGCGTTTTTAGGGGAAACATGTCCTTCAGTTTGTGTTTTTAGGGAAAACGTCTCCCTTCATTGCGTTTGTAGAGGGAACACGTTTCTTAGCTGTGTTTTTAGGGAAAACGTTTCCCTTCGTTGCGTTTTTAGGGAAAAACGTCTCCCTGCCTTGAATTTTTTAGGGGAAACTGCCTCCCTTAGTTGTACTTTTAGGGGAAAGCATCTCCCTTGGTTGAACTTTTAGGGGAAACCAGTCGCCTTCAGTTGTATTTTTAGGGAAAAACGTTCTTTAGTAGCATTTTTGAGGGAGAACATCTCCCTTGGTTGAATTTTTTAGGGGAAACCATCTCCCTTAGCTGCACTTTTAGGAGAAAACATCACCCTTGGTTGAATTTTTAGGGAAAAAGGACTCCCTGGGTTGAATGTTTAGGGAAAGGCATCTCCCTTGGTTGAATTTTTAGAGAAAAAGGACTCCCTGAGTTGAGTTTTTAGGGAAAAAGGTCTACCTTGGTTGGATTTTTAGGGAAAAACATCTCCCTGTGTTGAATTTTTAGGAGGAAACCATCTCCATTAGTTGCATTTTTTTCAAGGAGAAAACATGTCCTTTAATTGCATTTTTTTAGAGGAAACCACCTCCTTTAGTTGCATTTTTAGGGAAAAACATGTTCTTTAGTTGCATTTTTTAAAGGAAAACATCTCCCTTAGTTGTACTTTTAGGGAAAGACATTTCCCTGGGTTGAATTTTTAGGGGAAACCGTCTCTGTTAGTTGCACATTTAGGAGAAAACATGTCCTTTAATTGCATTTTTTAGAGGAAACCATCTCCTTTAGTTGTATTTTTAGGGACAAACATGTTCTTTAGCTGCATTTTTAAGGGAAAACACCTCCTTTTGTTGCGTTTTTAGGAGAAAACATCTCCCTTGGCTGTACTTTTAGGGGAAAGCATCTCCCTTGCTCGACTTTTTAGGGGAAAGCATCTTCCTTAGTTGCATTTTTTTAGGGAAAAACATCTCCCTTGGTTGACTTTTTAGGGGAAACCATCTCCTTTAGTTATATTTTTCTTCCCGTGCCCAGCAGTGCTTGGCAAAGAGGGATGGAACTAAAGCAACTAATTGAAGTCCTCTAAATTTCCTTGAAATCGGTAAAAAGGAGGAAAAAACCTGACAGCACTGGGGCTTGCTGTGCCACAGCCACTGCTGCTGCTGCATCCCAGTGCAGCAGATGGATGCTGCCAAGGGGTTTTGGAGCCTTGCACCATTCCTTGTGGCTTGTGGGCCAGTGACTTTTACCTGCAGGGAATAGCAGAGGGCTCAGATTGGGACAGTGAGCAGACCCCTCCTCACCTGCCCTCCTGGGGTCTGCCCACTGTGCTGGCCCGGGACCCCACCACAAATTGCTGTGGGTTAATGTGGAACCCGGGGATCCTGGTTCACACCCCTGGAAACAGTATCCAGGTTAAAATGTTCCTTCAGTGCAAGGGCTGCTGTGTTTGGTTTGGCTGGAGTCCCTTCTCCTGCTTTTCCCTTCTTTTGTCACAATGGGATGGCTAGTGGGGTGGCACAGTGAAGGGCAGGGGGGGCAAAATTCTGCAAATCTCCCAAAATGAGGCAAACTAGCTACTGCTTTCGTTTGGGAACTTTGGAAAAGCTGCTGCTGGTTTCTCACAGCAATGCTGGTTCAAGAGCCACTGCCTCCAGCAAGTGCTGGAGGGATGTTCCAGCAGCTTCACTCCTCACAGTCCCTAAACAGTCCTAAACAGGCTGAAATCCATCTGAAATCCAAATACTCGGCCATGAGACTGTGTCCTGTGTGTCCTTGGGAACCTCGTATCACCCTGTCCCACAGGAAAACCCCTTCTTCCAAGGAAACCCGAGGTTCCTCTGAGGTGGTTGCACTTTATCCCTATCTTGCCTTTCAGGGGCACAGATAAAGGGTGACCACCCCTCTGGCCTCAAAGAGCTGGTATCCCCGTTACACAGGCTTTTCCTTGGAAATGGGTCACCCTCCCCATGCTGAAATTCTTCCTGGCATCGACAGTGCAAGTGGTTATGGGACAACAAAAGAGGTTTGTGCCTCCAGGGGAGAAATAAGAATGCAAATATCTTTGGCATGAAAAACCCAAAGCGATTTACTCCTTGGTATTTCTTGTCAGTCCTTTGCATCTGTCTCTGCCTCACCTTCTCATTCCTTTCCTCTTGCCCTTCCAAGAGCAACAAGGCTTCGGGGAGCGATGGGGACTGGAGGGGCCCTGTGGGGGGAAGGGGGATGGTGGCTGCAGACACTCCAGCTCAGGGCTTCCCAGCCCTGCTGTAAAATCCTTTTCCCCCTGAGTTGCTCGCCCACTTTGGAGGGATTTCCCTGCTGCTTGGCTTGGCTGTGTCTTGCCAGGGTTCTTTGCCCCGGCACATCCCTTGTGGGTCCGTCCCATCCCTGGCAGCGCTGGCACCGGGACGTGCTTCTCCATCATCCCGGGGACTTTTGCAGCCCGGGAGCGTGGCTGGTGTTGGAGAGCTCTGTAATCCCCAGGGAAGCAGAGCGAGCCTCCTGTCGGTGGGCATAAATCAGGCGGGAGCTGGAAAGCAGGGCGGGCTGCGGAGGGAAGGGGAGCGCGGGCCCCTGAGCTGCGCCGCCGGATGGCTCCGGGACTTCCAGTTCATTTATTCTGCCGGGGTTTGCCCGGCCCTGCTCGGCATGTGAAATGTTTTCTCTGAAAGACCCAGCAGCGAGATGGGTGAAAAACATTCTCCTGTCCCAGGAGCTGGCAGAAATCCTGGTAAATCTGCAGAAGTATGTTTTTGTCGGTGCTGCTTTATTCTGTTAGGGGAACTAGTATAAACTATTCCAGCAGAAAACCTCTTCCTGGAATAAAGTCCTGACTCTGTTCAGAGCATTGTCAGGACAGTTGTACCAGGAATGGAGCTTAGCTGGTAAACATGTTAGGACTGAGGAGGCCCAATGGGGCAGGCACAGAGCTCCTGTACCCTCTGCCCCATGGATAAACCCCTCACAAGGCACCTGCTGCCCTTCTCTGTGCTTGAATCAAGCATAAAATCTGTGCAAGTTTAATTTGCAAAGAAAACATGGATTTTTTGTTTTGTTTGTTTATTTTCTCCCCTTTGAAAGCCTGTCTGTCTCAATATCCATCCCCTCCAGGCTGTGGTTGGGCATTGTCAGCGGGGTCAGGGTCAGTGTCAGGAGCCACACCATGGGGATGTGTCCCCATCCTGCATCACTTTGCAGCCATGGGGTCAGTGCACAACCTAAGCCATCACTTCTACTCTCCTACCTCAGTTTCCCTGACCCTGGCTAGCTCAAGGGGCGATGCTGGGAGCCCCTGGAGTGGTCCTGGATAACAGCGGGTGCCCGCTCCAGTTTGAATTTCTCATCCCCTGATGTGTCCTTATCTCGCTGCTCCTTGCAGCCAGGATGGGGATGCCTGCTGGGACTTCCAGCAGGAGAACGGGGCTATCAGTGTGGGTTTGGGCAGGAGATCAGAGCTGTGACACCCCGGGTGGGGTGCGAGCCCCGGGTGCCAGCGGGGGACGGCACAGCTGGACGTGCTTCAAAGGGCGTCAGGTTTTTCTGGGCTCCGGCCACTGCTTTGCTCTCCAGGCAGGCGTGAAAATGTGAAAGAATGTGAAAAATGTGAAAATGATCTTGCTGGCCCCAAGATTTGTAAACTTTCTGGTTAATGTGTAATAAATACATGACAGATACTGCCAGTGCCGGGTGGGTGACCGCGGTGGCACCACCAGCGGTGACATCCCGGAGAGGCATCTCCCCTCCTCTGCCCCCAGGGCCAACCCCAGGGTGTCCTGATTGGAGAGGGTTTGGGGCTTTTCTAAACTGGTTTGTCTGGTTTGGACTTATCCCGAGTTTCTGTGAACCGCCTTGTCTGGCTTGCAAAATGCTCTTTACTTATTTGTTTAATCCTGCCCTGGGACACGGTGCGTGCTGTGACGCCCAGGTGTGCCCTGTGCACTCAGAGCGATGCCCAGCACGGTGCTTATGCCATTTATCCTGAGGCCTTGGATCCTTGGAGTGATTCCTCCCAGGTGGCTCATCCAGCTGTAACCACCTGTGCAGTATTTCCTGCTTGGCATGAGGTGAGGTGCCTCCACAGCTGCGTTCACGCCATAGTCAGCCCGGGGGAATCTCTTCTGAGTCAGTGGTTTTTTTGCAAAAATAGCTAAAAAGTTGGTCCTTCAGCTCTGGGTGGGTCTGGCTGTAGCAAAGCTGGAGGGGGACAGAGATGCTGCAGGTCCTGGTGTGGCAGTGAACGGGCACCAGGGCTTATCCCAGGGAAGTTCCTGCATCCACCTGGGCACTGCCAGGGCACTGCACAGCACGGGGGCAGAGCTGGCACAGCGTGGACTCATCTGGGAATTCCAACCAAAAAAGGTCAGAGAGGAGACCCTGCCAAAGGGCTTGGAGGAGAGGGCAATGGATTTGATGCCTCCTGCATCAAAGGGGTGGCCTCCTGCCCTGCCAGGGTTGGGATGTGGTCTGGATGTGGACGGTTCCACCTCTCCTTCAAACGGCCTCTGAGCGTCGGGGATCAAGATGTTTTGTCTGATGCTAATGCATAAATTTCAGCCCTGGATGACTTTCCCT